ATTGGCTGGGGCTTGAGAACAGGCTAGGGGGTACGAGGTTGTAGAAAGAGGTTTAGAGACAGAGATAGGGTTCCGGACAACATTTTCCAGGGCAGCTAGACGGGCACATTGACCTTCGACCATGCTTACTCTACTAGTGAGGGTTTTGACAGTGTCTTGGATTTGGTGATATGTGAGGGTGTTGGTTTTCTGGGTTTCCTGACAGCATAGTTGTTGATGAGAGAGATCGTTCTGAATATTTATAAAATCACGGTTGATATTCGCCTGAAGTTGCTGGAAATTTGTCCTAATCTCAGTATCACCGTCATCCACACGGGTACACAACTCCTCAATACGGGTATCAAAAGCAACTAACCTCTTGGACATAGCGTCAAACTGGAGGGCAAAGTTGTCAAACATATCTCTGAGCCTATTGTCTAAGGAGTCAAGAGTAGGGGGGACCTTTTGAGTCAACGAGACATCACCTTCTCCGTCGACGGACATGGTTAAATCGAAATCGGTGGGGGGTAAGAGGGGAGAGGAATAATTTACTGAAGGGTTATACCAGTCAGGTTGTCGGGTGGTTCGCTTGCCTGCACTTTGCATTAGGGGAAAATGAAATAAGTTTTAAATAATAAGTTTTAAGTAACAGCAGTTTATATAACAGAATAATAATTAAATGATAATTAGGGGAAAATTACAATTAATAGATTAAACTTGTTTCTGAACAACAGAGTAAATACACCGGTCCAAGCAATAATACCATACGGTGAATTTATCCCATATGCTCAGTACCAATTATAATCAATTGAGAAAAACACTATAGTAATAATTAACTATGAAACTTCAATAAAATGTAATAATTGTAAGATATTAACAGTAATAAATAAGTAATGTCCGCAGACGAATAGATATAACCGGTCTTAATAGGTTTAGTTTAGACTAAATAATTAGAAAATAATGATAATTAAGGTAATGAATAATATGATATGGGCCTTAGGTGGACTAAACTGACCAGGTCAAAGTTTCCTACACCAGCATCTCAAACAGTCAGTCGTGTAAAGTAATTTAATGATCAGAGGGAAAACCTACCTAACATTGGGTATTTTGTTCTTTTAAAGGGGACGTTATAATAATAAATATTTCCTATTAAATTGATTGCACAATGTGGAGAAAGAAAATGTATATTATTTATTAATTCCGTGCAAGAGAATGTTTATTTAATTTGATTTTATAATTTTAATAAATGATTTTTTTGTAATATATTAAGCTTTTAAGTTGGGGAATTTAAACAGATAAGAATAGTAATACTAACACATTAATGTAATAATAAGAATGAGAATAATAATTGGGTTTTTTTCCTAGCCTTTTAAATTTAATAATATAAGAATAATAATAATTGTTCCTACCAAGGGAAACATGCTCATCAAGAACATAATTTTATAATTTATAATAACATAATACATAATATAATAATATAATAACAATCCGCAGATTTGACATTAACAATCCTAACATTTTGGACCATGTGGTCTGGGAAAAAAAACTTAAGTTATCGCAGCAAAATACAAAAATGATCCTAGCAATGTTATACAAGGGTGGATGTACGGGTCTAGGGAAAACTAACAAGGGGGGAGAATAAGGGGAAAATATAATAATGCAAACCAAAGGGAAAAAGACGGGTCATTCGCAGTGTCCGAGCCTCGATGCCGCAGCCGATCGCCAAGCCGTCACCGTCGAACGCCACCACCGCCTCCACGATGCATACACCGACAGGAACAATTTCTGAAATAAATTACTGGATAACAAATGTGTACATGGGGGGAAAAAAAAATAATAATAGTTGATTGAATTTACCTTGGTAGTGAATAATACATTTTTGACTTTAATATTTTACATTTTTTTTTTTTTTTTGTTACCAAGAGAGAGAATAATTAACTGAATAGTATGACATTAAGTTAAATAATATAATAAAGATTGTCTCTTGCACAAGAATAAAAATGTCATATTGAATAATATAATAAAATAGGTAAGAGATTTGGGGAGTTGCAATAAGAGGAAATTTAGAAAATGAATAATAAATGTTTTTTCTTACAGGAAAATAATAATTTTTACGGATGGAAGTGGATAATAATTTGCCATGTGCTTGCCAAGAAAAATAATATTTGAGACCTAACGTTTTTTGCCATTTAAAGAGTAATTTTAATATTTTTGAGAAAGGATTTTAAGTTTGAGAGTATATAAAAAAAAAAAAAAATATATTATAAGTTAAAAGGGGGACTTTTGGACATTTCGTCCTGTCACGGTCGCCATATGTGAGAGTTAGTGACTTTTTAAGGCCACCAAAACCACCCATGACGAAAGGGGAACACTTTCCTCATGACCTGTGAGCCGCACCGCGTGAGACCCGAGGGTCAAGTCGGTGGAGCTCACAGGCTTTGATACACGCAACGGCAAGCTGAATGCCGAGGATTTATGTGGGGAGAGAGAGAGAGAAAAAAAAATAAATAAGTTAATGAAAATAAATAATAAGAGCAATATTAGGGTAATCACGTGGATGTATTTTACAGGTTTTTTGATTGTAGATAATTTAAATAAGGTTTTGACATTTTTCAGTTTAACAAAAATAAAATATATAGCATGGCACATGGCAAGTAGGTATAAAATATAAAAGGGCACATGGGAAACAAAAAAAACAACGCTCGGCCCACGGGGATCGACACATCACATTACTCGTGGTGGTCTCCACAGGGTTACCGGGGCAGTTTAAATGATTTGGGGGGGAAATGAAAGTTCGAACGTCTGTAAGTGTGGTCCGGGGCCCCCTACTTAAACGCGCACAGGGACAGCTGGTTTTTTACGCCAGCTGTATGTGAACGCGTAGGAGGTTACCCGCTAGGCCCCAATGGCAACCACACCTGGACGTTCTGAAACGCACATTTCACAAGGATCGTGCTTTTAAGTGACAAAAAATAAAAAAAGAAGGGGGGAAAATTTTGGAGGTATTACTCTGACGACGTTGAGCTTGAGATGTGTTGTTGACCGAGGAACTGGATGGGCTGGTTAATACCACCGGCACACACGCGGCCGGCATGGCCCATCTTGTCGTCGATCAAACCGCCTCGGATGGTGACGGCGGCAGGGAGGTTGACTGGTTCAGCAGCTTTGCCCACCATCGGGCCCGTGAGCGGTACTTAGCCCATCATGGCGGTTGGTTCCCGTCGATTAAAACAATAAGATGAGATTCACACGCGAAGTGATGGTGGTCGACACGCGGTTGTGGTCGTCGTAGAAAACTCGGGATGCGTCACGGTACCGAAAGTCGAAACGTCTGGTTCGTTCAGCGGTCTCGGAAAATGTGAATAAAGACGGCTGATGTTGTCTTTCCGCTGGTCGTGGCCGTTGATGTTGACGTGGTGGGGAAGGTCAGTGTCGCATTATAGGGACGTTTACAATAATAATTGGGAAAACAGACTGCTTTGTCGGTGCGTATCGACGGACGCGACAGCTGCGACCGGCGGTGACGACCGGCAACGGCAGCGGCCTGTTGGCGGGCGGACACTGCGGGTTGTGGGGGCCGGGGTCAGGTGTTATGTAACATTGTGGTCATTTATGCATTGGCGCGCGATAAATATAATAATATCATAATGTAATCATAAGAAATAATAATAATGAAAAATAATATGCTCAGGGGAACTATAATAATATTAAGTAAGGCCTAAAATTCTGTGACGTTACATAACCCCCCCAACAAGTTGTTAAGGTTGTTACATAAGTCGGAACTGAAAACCACTTGTTGTAAGAAAAGGAGGAACTGAATTTTAGGGGACCATAGACATACAATTAGGGGAAATTTAACATTTTAATGAGGGACATCATAGCAATATCAAATACATAATAATAACATTTGCAACCATTGTGTGTTGAGCAAGGCTCGCGTACGGTGGTGACACCGTGTTAGGCAGAATACACCACATGCTAACCCCCCATTTGTTATTGAGTCCCGGGGGACAATTCGTGTCACCTGATAGGGATACGAATAGCATTGATTTGATTCGAGAGAGAAAGAAAAAAAAAATAGATTAAGTTATTGTATTATTAAACTGAAGTTGACTTTTGATATTAAATTTGAACAGAAATTGTACTTTAAATTTGTTGTTGATGAAATGTTTTTTTTTTTTTTTAATTTTTTTTATAGATTATGTCAGGGGGAATGGGAGGTGGCAGAGTATAATGGAGAATGACAGGGGGGTCTTTAGGGGGTTGGTCATTAAATTTATAAGAAAAGAATTTATGAAGGCCGGGTTTGTCTTGAAATATGTCTTGGAAATTTTGTAAGAGAGAGGTCATTAAATTTTGTTGAGAAATATTAAGGGGAAAGTCATTGAGAGCGATATCTTTTTCTGTTTCGAAAGGGAGAGGGTTATATTTTGAGCTTGAGGGGGATTCGGAGAGTAGAGGGAGATCTTCTGAGATATTGATATTTTTGAGTGAATTTACCAGGCTATTGGGGTCATGATCTGCAATTAATTTAAAAGGTATTTTATTTTTGAGTGAGGGGAGAGAGATTTCCTTAGTACTATAATCTATGGTCACCCCATTTTCCACCAACCAATCGGTTCCCAAAATAAGAGGAGTAGAGAGATGGGGGACAACAAGAAAAATACCAAAGGTTTCATAGTTTTGAATTGAAAAGTTTAAATAGATTTGAGATTTTAATTTTATTGATTTATTATTTAGTGCTGTTGTGAGGAGTATGCCGTTAAGAGGAAAGAGGGGGATTTTATTTTGTGAAGGGTCAGAGATTAAATTTTGATACAGTTCTTCGGAGACTGCAGATACTGAGGCACCGGAGTCTAAAAGAGCATTATAGTGTATTTTGAAAAGTTTTAAGGGGATTTCTGGACGATAATTTGGAGGGGGAACGATTTCCTGATCTATATTTAAGGGGTGTGTGAGTATCGAAATTTGAGGACTATTGTTAGTGGACACAGGACACGTCCTCATGGGTCTGGTCAACGCTAGTTTCCCGAAGGGGAAATGGCCTGGTCTGGTGATGGGGGTGATGATTGATTTTGAGTGTTATCCGTTTGAGGTCTATTGTAACTATTGAAACGAGGGGAGTAATTGTTTTGACGGGGAGGGTATCTATTTTGATTATTGTGGCCAAAAGAGTTCTGTTGTGAATTTTGATTTTGATGAGAGGAGGCAGTTTGACTATTCTGGGTATTTTGAGGGGAATGGGCCTGTTGAAGGTGGGAGAGCTGTTGGATGAGTTCATTAGTTGTGACGATACGGAGACCTCGGAGGGCGACGGAAATGTTAAATGAAAAGTGGGATATAATTTGGTCAACCATTTCGGCTTGATCGATCGGGGGTCTCAGGAAACGGGCTCGGTTAATCCAATCCATAGCATGCTTTTGGAGGGATGAATTGTCCCTATGAAAATATGGCCGGTATAATTCATTCCTAATGGCACGTTGCTGGTTGGTAGACCAGAAATGGTTCCGAAATAATAACAGAAACTCACTATACACCGATGGTGGGGGGAGTAACGTGTGATACCATAGCTGAGCATCATCTACAAACTTCGCCTTTACATAGTTGATCTTGAACTGGTCGGGGACGGGGGGTTGTGTCAAAAAATATTGTTCGGCTTGTTCTAGGAACTCTTCGGGGTGAATGGGTGTTAACTGTCCGTTGTAAGTGGGCAACTTGGTTGAATCCAAATTGATACCAGAGATATTGGAGAGGGAGTGAGTACCATGAACAGAGACAGAGGGGGGGTTTGAAAATGTACATTGGTGTTGAGGTGCCGAATAGACTGAAGTGTGATACGGGGCAGCCGGTTGTGTGGGAAGTGAATTTGTAATTGTAGTTGAGGTGAACAGATTATTAAATGAATTTTGTGTAAAAGGCTGAGAATTATTAAAAGAGTGTTGTAAGAGGGGTTGACTATCTTTACTTGAAATTTGAGGCATAGCGGAAATATTATTATTGAAAGTTTGTGCAGGGGGTTGGTAGCTGATATTGGCTGGGGCTTGAGAACAGGCTAGGGGGTACGAGGTTGTAGAAAGAGGTTTAGAGACAGAGATAGGGTTCCGGACAACATTTTCCAGGGCAGCTAGACGGGCACATTGACCTTCGACCATGCTTACTCTACTAGTGAGGGTTTTGACAGTGTCTTGGATTTGGTGATATGTGAGGGTGTTGGTTTTCTGGGTTTCCTGACAGCATAGTTGTTGATGAGAGAGATCGTTCTGAATATTTATAAAATCACGGTTGATATTCGCCTGAAGTTGCTGGAAATTTGTCCTAATCTCAGTATCACCGTCATCCACACGGGTACACAACTCCTCAATACGGGTATCAAAAGCAACTAACCTCTTGGACATAGCGTCAAACTGGAGGGCAAAGTTGTCAAACATATCTCTGAGCCTATTGTCTAAGGAGTCAAGAGTAGGGGGGACCTTTTGAGTCAACGAGACATCACCTTCTCCGTCGACGGACATGGTTAAATCGAAATCGGTGGGGGGTAAGAGGGGAGAGGAATAATTTACTGAAGGGTTATACCAGTCAGGTTGTCGGGTGGTTCGCTTGCCTGCACTTTGCATTAGGGGAAAATGAAATAAGTTTTAAATAATAAGTTTTAAGTAACAGCAGTTTATATAACAGAATAATATTTAAATGATAATTAGGGGAAAATTACAATTAATAGATTAAACTTGTTTCTGAACAACAGAGTAAATACACCGGTCCAAGCAATAATACCATACGGTGAATTTATCCCATATGCTCAGTACCAATTATAATCAATTGAGAAAAACACTATAGTAATAATTAACTATGAAACTTCAATAAAATGTAATAATTGTAAGATATTAACAGTAATAAATAAGTAATGTCCGCAGACGAATAGATATAACCGGTCTTAATAGGTTTAGTTTAGACTAAATAATTAGAAAATAATGATAATTAAGGTAATGAATAATATGATATGGGCCTTAGGTGGACTAAACTGACCAGGTCAAAGTTTCCTACACCAGCATCTCAAACAGTCAGTCGTGTAAAGTAATTTAATGATCAGAGGGAAAACCTACCTAACATTGGGTATTTTGTTCTTTTAAAGGGGACGTTATAATAATAAATATTTCCTATTAAATTGATTGCACAATGTGGAGAAAGAAAATGTATATTATTTATTAATTCCGTGCAAGAGAATGTTTATTTAATTTGATTTTATAATTTTAATAAATGATTTTTTTGTAATATATTAAGCTTTTAAGTTGGGGAATTTAAACAGATAAGAATAGTAATACTAACACATTAATGTAATAATAAGAATGAGAATAATAATTGGGTTTTTTTCCTAGCCTTTTAAATTTAATAATATAAGAATAATAATAATTGTTCCTACCAAGGGAAACATGCTCATCAAGAACATAATTTTATAATTTATAATAACATAATACATAATATAATAATATAATAACAATCCGCAGATTTGACATTAACAATCCTAACATTTTGGACCATGTGGTCTGGGAAAAAAAACTTAAGTTATCGCAGCAAAATACAAAAATGATCCTAGCAATGTTATACAAGGGTGGATGTACGGGTCTAGGGAAAACTAACAAGGGGGGAGAATAAGGGGAAAATATAATAATGCAAACCAAAGGGAAAAAGACGGGTCATTCGCAGTGTCCGAGCCTCGATGCCGCAGCCGATCGCCAAGCCGTCACCGTCGAACGCCACCACCGCCTCCACGATGCATACACCGACAGGAACAATTTCTGAAATAAATTACTGGATAACAAATGTGTACATGGGGGGGAAAAAAAAATAATAATAGTTGATTGAATTTACCTTGGTAGTGAATAATACATTTTTGACTTTAATATTTTACATTTTTTTTTTTTTTTTGTTACCAAGAGAGAGAATAATTAACTGAATAGTATGACATTAAGTTAAATAATATAATAAAGATTGTCTCTTGCACAAGAATAAAAATGTCATATTGAATAATATAATAAAATAGGTAAGAGATTTGGGGAGTTGCAATAAGAGGAAATTTAGAAAATGAATAATAAATGTTTTTTCTTACAGGAAAATAATAATTTTTACGGATGGAAGTGGATAATAATTTGCCATGTGCTTGCCAAGAAAAATAATATTTGAGACCTAACGTTTTTTGCCATTTAAAGAGTAATTTTAATATTTTTGAGAAAGGATTTTAAGTTTGAGAGTATATAAAAAAAAAAAAAAATATATTATAAGTTAAAAGGGGGACTTTTGGACATTTCGTCCTGTCACGGTCGCCATATGTGAGAGTTAGTGACTTTTTAAGGCCACCAAAACCACCCATGACGAAAGGGGAACACTTTCCTCATGACCTGTGAGCCGCACCGCGTGAGACCCGAGGGTCAAGTCGGTGGAGCTCACAGGCTTTGATACACGCAACGGCAAGCTGAATGCCGAGGATTTATGTGGGGAGAGAGAGAGAGAAAAAAAAATAAATAAGTTAATGAAAATAAATAATAAGAGCAATATTAGGGTAATCACGTGGATGTATTTTACAGGTTTTTTGATTGTAGATAATTTAAATAAGGTTTTGACATTTTTCAGTTTAACAAAAATAAAATATATAGCATGGCACATGGCAAGTAGGTATAAAATATAAAAGGGCACATGGGAAACAAAAAAAACAACGCTCGGCCCACGGGGATCGACACATCACATTACTCGTGGTGGTCTCCACAGGGTTACCGGGGCAGTTTAAATGATTTGGGGGGGAAATGAAAGTTCGAACGTCTGTAAGTGTGGTCCGGGGCCCCCTACTTAAACGCGCACAGGGACAGCTGGTTTTTTACGCCAGCTGTATGTGAACGCGTAGGAGGTTACCCGCTAGGCCCCAATGGCAACCACACCTGGACGTTCTGAAACGCACATTTCACAAGGATCGTGCTTTTAAGTGACAAAAAATAAAAAAAGAAGGGGGGAAAATTTTGGAGGTATTACTCTGACGACGTTGAGCTTGAGATGTGTTGTTGACCGAGGAACTGGATGGGCTGGTTAATACCACCGGCACACACGCGGCCGGCATGGCCCATCTTGTCGTCGATCAAACCGCCTCGGATGGTGACGGCGGCAGGGAGGTTGACTGGTTCAGCAGCTTTGCCCACCATCGGGCCCGTGAGCGGTACTTAGCCCATCATGGCGGTTGGTTCCCGTCGATTAAAACAATAAGATGAGATTCACACGCGAAGTGATGGTGGTCGACACGCGGTTGTGGTCGTCGTAGAAAACTCGGGATGCGTCACGGTACCGAAAGTCGAAACGTCTGGTTCGTTCAGCGGTCTCGGAAAATGTGAATAAAGACGGCTGATGTTGTCTTTCCGCTGGTCGTGGCCGTTGATGTTGACGTGGTGGGGAAGGTCAGTGTCGCATTATAGGGACGTTTACAATAATAATTGGGAAAACAGACTGCTTTGTCGGTGCGTATCGACGGACGCGACAGCTGCGACCGGCGGTGACGACCGGCAACGGCAGCGGCCTGTTGGCGGGCGGACACTGCGGGTTGTGGGGGCCGGGGTCAGGTGTTATGTAACATTGTGGTCATTTATGCATTGGCGCGCGATAAATATAATAATATCATAATGTAATCATAAGAAATAATAATAATGAAAAATAATATGCTCAGGGGAACTATAATAATATTAAGTAAGGCCTAAAATTCTGTGACGTTACAACTTACTGAATTCGATGAGAATTCGTCCATACCCTTGTCTTCGATACTGTGGCATGATAACGATACAAGCAACATTAAAATTTTCTTCATTTTGTTTTAGTTTTGAAAAATAACCAACAAAATGACATCCCTTAACATTTTTAATTGAATATTATTACAATATAATTATGGTAGACAAATATAAAAAAAAAATAAAAAGTGAATTACCGTCTTGCGACGGTAGACAGAATATTGAATACTTCTACTAATAAATTTGGACTATTGACTTGTATTAAAATTTAAAGTTATATAATGGGTGGACTTCTAATTGGGCTCAGACACACACAAAAACACACATACACATAAATATATATATATTAATGTATGGACTTAAGATAATTTGGATTGACAGCGTTACATATTTTGTTATAGTATCGCTCAATGATTCTTTAAGCGTTTAGTTACATGATTCGAGCGAAGGGCAGACCCTGCCAAGATTGGTTTTCAGTTCGAAAGTTACAATTTAAAATGTATTTATTTCGGTACACTTACAAAACCGTCGTTTTTCGTCACAATATAAAATAAGAACGGTTCAACGCCAAAGTCCAGAGTTTTTAGGTCCAAAAATAATTTCCCCAATCGACATAGTGTTTGGCAATAAGTTTTGTCTACTTTTCCATCAACCTGTTTGAAAAAATAAATAAAAAATTGTGTAGGTAGTTTATCTCTAGTGAATTGTTTCATAAAATTAATTTACTTCAAAAACGCTTAAATCTCCACTTTGGTAGATCTCTGTGCCTGGTGGTGTTCTCCAATTACAGTGTCGCATATGTCTTTCCAAAATCGATTGACATTTAGTGTATTTTAAACAAAATTCACAAAATATTAATCTCGGAGAATCCTCCTCTTGCGGGAATGGGCATGAATAACATGTCTCCACTTCAAATTTTCCAAACTTTATTACACCAGGACATCGTACTGGAGTTTGAATTGTACTCTACAAATGTACATTATAGAAATATAAGACTTCATGTAATATTAAAATAAAATAAATAATTTAAATTTTACATTCTTTTCCGTTGTTCTAGTCCGCTTACATATTTTGATATCCCCGTTCACAACTCCAGATGGTAAGTCTGATGCAACAGGTCGGATTATATTTTCCAGAACTGAAAATTGTATTTCATATTTATAACTAACTACTGAGACTGGTTAATAAGCCAAAACAGTTAAGTACAGCATAAAATAGTCACTAATATAAATTTTTAAAGTACATGGCAGAACACATATTAATACTGTTAAAAAATACAGCATAAATAAGTAATCTCGCTTAATAATAATATTATATGCTTATTTATCCTGTAATTTGATGAACAATTTCCAGAACTATACGTTGTTTAACCAGTCCTAATGTCCTATGGAGTTTGTCTTAAACGGATTAATAATACTAGTAATATTAATATTACCTAGTAATAAAATAGGATGAAAACATTAAAATCTGTTTGATATATTATGCTCTCGACAAATAAATGTAAAATTGTGGTATGATATATTATGGGTACTTGGTATCTATACATACTATGTTTGATTAATATACTCAAAAAAGAACACAAAATATTTAAACATGCAACATGCAATGGATCAAAATTAAACACACCAGATCATATCCCGTTCACACTTAGTGCATTAAGTGCAGCACTTTGCTTAAATAATTTTGATTTCTCCTTGGAGATAGCAGTGTCCCACCGGCCCACCGAACACTACCTCTAATTGGACGATGTATTT